AAAGTTTGCGCTTTGCATTACTGGTCAAAAGTTTTGATTCATCCCTCATTTCTTACTGCGTATCTTAAGATGGAACTAATTTTGTAAACAAAGAATGTCTTTGTGTAGACTGACACCCTGGGGTTTAAAACCAACTGTGATCCAAATCACCACTTTTGATCTGGATTTTCATTACTAGATAAGAGCCAAAACAGGTTGCAGAGATTTGCCAGTTAACGATTTGAATTAGAGTTAAAGTGACTGGTTTTACCTTCAAAGGTGTCCACAGGACCAACATCAACGATTTCAATTAATTTGATCACAATCGATGGGCTGAACTGAGGTAGAGATTTACAGAGCTGCAGAGCAAAAGCAATGCACAAAAATCTGTAAGTAGACAATCATGATTAATTGTTTATTCCCAGCTTTATTCAGAGTTATAAGTGGCAGTGATGGGGCTAATAATAGCAAAAGTTGGTCATGCATCAAATCCATCAGAGACTGAATCAACCGAAGCTTTTCCTGCCCTCTGCTTTGCAAAGTTGACTTTGTTCTGTTCAGCTCTGTCAGTCAGATGTGAAATGAACATGTGAGCTGTGAAAACACGCCTTCTTGAATACACATTACACTCCGAAATTACAGCAGCTGTTCAGAAATGTGGTTCCTGCCTTTTTCATTTCATCTATTCATCGGACTTTTGTCTTTTCCTAGTTCTGTTTCCCCCCAATATTTTAATGCGTAACTGACTGAGCAAGTAGTTGTAGTAAGAACTGTTTTATGTGTATCAATTATTATTGTTTATAAGTGTGTGAGACACAATTAAGCAAGATAATGCTGATTACAAGCCTCTCCAAACGCTATTTAAGATGCAAATGTCTAATCAGTCATTTTTTTTTCTGTATGCTATTGAGAAGGGGGTGTGATGAGTGCAAGCTGAGCATCTAATCTGCATGGCATTGTTGTGAAAAACATGACCAATTATATTTGACTGTTTTCAATTAGTATCTTTATGTAATTACATCACCATTGAGGTTGTCTTGTTTCTTTGAGATTTGCTGATTTTCTGCAGAAGTTAACGATCCGAGAGATTAAAATGCACGTCGTATGGAGAGCAGGAGTTACTGTGGATTATTTCTGACAGGATTTGCAAAAACATCAACAGATGATCTCAAAATTGATCAGTTATGCTCTGTAGCTAAACACACACATACCTAGTATGAGGTGAGTTATAAAGCCTCAAAATATATCCCAATGTCTTGAGAAAATTTGCAATAAGTATATAGCAAAACAAAAACTATTTGGTGAATGTACATATTAAATTATACTAAGTTAGTTTCTCCACAGGAAAAAAAAATGTTAACTAAAAAGAATGATTTATTAATTGCAGTGGTAGTTTGTAACTTTTCAGGAGTCTGCTCATTACACTGTCACCTACTAAAACCTGACATTTCAAATATAATTAAACAAAGTGCAGCAGTTCTAACACATTTTCTATTAAAACGTTAGTGGAGGTTTCCCCAAACAAATGTAATGGAATCGATATTTTCATCTCCTAAGTGAGGATGGGCCCAGAGTAAAATTATACAAAAAATCCTAGCTAAGATTTAATGCATGGGCCAAGGGAATTTTCTTTGACCATCTTCAAAATAAATAACAAAATTCAACAATTGCATTGGTAGAGGATATACTCATATTTGCTTTTGATTGAGATATTTAATCATTGATCACCTGATTACAAAATCAGCCTATCCTGCATGTTTTTGGTCTGTGGGAGGAAACCAGAGTACCCAGAGGAAACCCATGCATGCGTGGAGAGAACATGCAAACTCCGAAGATCCACGGATTTGGACTGGCCACCAATTCGCTGAGAGGCAACAACTCTACCAACTGTGCCACCATGCCGCTGAAATTAACCTTTTAACAGAAAATAAAACTACAGTAGTCCCTCGTTTATTGCGGGGCCACGCCCCCCTGCAATAAGTGAAAAACCGCAAAGTAAAGATACAGTAGTCCAAGTTCAAGTTTCACTCCCAGTCTCCCTCCTTCTGTGTAAATAAACAATTTAGATTTAAATATTGTAATATTTTAAATAAACAATTCATGCAGTATGGATTGTTTAGTTAAAATATTACAGTATTTTAATCGAAATTATAGAGAAGAGAAGTGCAGCAGGACAGCAAAGCGTTAACCCTTCACAAAGCTGCTTCAGCCAGATGAGAAATGTGGGTGTGGCAGAGAGCGGAGATCATGACAGGCTGTAGGAAGGATCTTCTCCCTGCACATGTGGGCTGCACAAATGTGCAGTAGGTGCTAAATCATTTAAAATCATCTATTTTAAATAAACAATCCATGCCACTCGTGCGGCTCATCCATCAATCAGCCAATTGTGTGCCATGTCCAATTTTAGTTTGAAAAACCGCGAAAGAGCGAGTTCACGAAAGTCCAACCACGAAGTAGCGAGGGACTACTGTACTTTTCTAATATTAAAATGTTCATATAAAATCTGCCCCACATCTGGATGATTATTTACTGTAGGCTATCTATTAATGGTTTCAGAGTCTATTTGGATGTTTCTACCTACAAACAGTTTAGGATCAACCTTGCTGGCTACTTTATAACTGACCTCATTCATATCTTATTGAATTCAAATATATATATATATATATATATAT